TAAATCAATTATTAATCAAAAATCGAATTTCAATAACTTTTCTTTATAATGCAATAAAATCTGGCGAGCAGCTATTTAAACGATCAAACACTTCGTTTGTTTATTTGTGGCTTGAAGTTAGGCTCGCAGAAAATGCCGTTCATGGGTTAAATTTAGTAGGAATAACACAACCTGTGACGTAGGCTATAGTATACCCGATTAAAACGTATTAGCGTTTTATATAACATGGATTAGCCATAGGTTGCTCACTACGTGCTCTTGCGCGCCGAATCCAATCAATTAAAAATGAAAACTGTTGCCAGCGAGAGAAAAGAAATATCACCGGTTTTATTGATACATACATACGTACGTATTAGCGTTTTATATAATATAGATTAATAATTTTGAAATTTCCAAAATGTATCTAGTTTCTCTAGTGCAGCTAGGCAACCATAATGTTAAACAACAACCTATAAACTTATTTTTTTTATTGAATGAACAGTTATTAGATCACACGGTTCGTTTCTAAATTTCATCAATACATTTCTCCAAATTCGCATTTTATGTCCATGTTTTTAGTTCGAAGGTAGGCTTCAACAGAAAACAACATTTAACAGCTATAAACAGGGTGCTTGTAGCTTTGTCTTTGTAGCGTAAATTACGTCAACTTAACGCAAAGATGCGTAGCATCTAAAATAAACGTGAGCATGCGCAGTTGCTTCAATATGACGTAGGGGAGCGTACGTAATTTATAGTAAAAGTACGAAATCTACCTAATGTAAAAAAGGAAAGTAGTTAAATGCTTTCAACGTATTGCGTAAAACTTTGTAAACGCGAAAATGGCCATCAATTAAACAGCCATGGTTAAATACTTACCATCAAGAAACAACCATGGTTATATAGTTAAAATCGAATAAACAGCCGGGTTAAATAGATACCATCAAATAAACAGCCATGGTTACCATGGAATAAACAGTTACTTTTCTCTTTTCCAGAAGAGAGAAAAGTAAACAAAGTACATAGCAAGAAAGAAAGTTATAAAATAACAAATTAAATCTAAAATGTACTTAATAACACTAAATCAATCTAATTAAGATCTAGGGCATGGATTATAATCGTCTGTAATTTGAGTTACAGATTGAGGAAAATTATTTTGCATAAAATGAGTGCATATGTAAGGGGCAGACGATTAAAATATCCTTCACTTGGGATAAACATTTAATCTTCGAATTTTACGATAAACTTCTTTTATTATCTTTTGAAATTACAATGCAGGGTCCAATAAATCTAGATTGGAAGGAATTACCTGAATTTAAATATACAATGCCTGAATATAGGATGAACAATGTCGTTTTAAAATAATATTCCCACATATTTATTCATTTTATTCACAGTCACCTAAAAAAATCATTTTTTTTCGAAGAAGAAAAAGAAGCATAGCTATTTGGCAACACGATTTTCAAAGTTGTTAGCAACTTAAAACGTTTTCATATTTGTGCATGATTTTCAACTGTAATTTTGTCAGGTGTGCATCTCATTTCTTGGTCTTCGTTTCAAAAGAATAAAACGGAAAAAAAGGCAGTTTCGTTAATTCTTAAAATAAATACATGGTCTTCTGCTTCATAAAATATTGCAGTTATTTATCGCCAAGTCATTTAGTAAATAATTCGTACTTCTATACGAAAAACAGCGTCACAATCGTTTTAGATTTTGAACGAGTAAAATTACTTTTCATTCATTACTTTTTCTTGTGTCACACATTCCTACGTATGTATTTTTTTTTTCAAGTAAGGTTGATTATTATTAAAATCTAAGTAAAGGTACTTCTCGGCCTTCGTTTCAAAAGAATAAAACGGAAAAAGACACTTTTCGTTAATTCTTAAAATAAATACATGGTCTTCTGTGTCAAAAAATATTGCAATTATTCACCAAGGCATTTAATAAATAATTAGAACTTCCATACGAAAAGCAACGTCACAATCGTCATAGATTTTCAACGAGTAAAATTACTTTTAATTTATTACTTTTTCTTGTGTCACACATTCCTAAGATATATTTTTTTCAGGTTGAATATTTTTGAAATCTAAGTAATCGTTTATTTTGCTAGGATTAACATAATCTTACAGCAAACTAACAAAATAATCCTACGTGAAATTATAATAATTATCTAATTTAGAAAAAAATTTATCTTTTTTTCTTTTCTTTTTTTTTTCTTCCTTTTTTTCTAAATATCCACTTTTAAGGGAAAATAAATACTATGGGAATTGATGCGTGTAGCGAGCAAGAGTCGGAATTATATAGTCCTAATCTTTTTAAAAAGAGCTTAATTTACTTTTTTAAATTCTTCACTTTTTAAAACTGAATATTACTTACCTAAGAATTTAATTTTTAGATTTTTCTCCTTAAAAGTGTTTAAGGAATTCGGAATCAAAAAAAAAAATATTCAAACTATAAAACTAACCAAAAAGAAAAAAGAAAAAGTAATTATTAAACTGCTTTTAACATTATTTTTCATTTGTATTTTAGTTTAACGAACCATCAAAAATAAAATCTGATGAAGATATTGTTCAAGATAGAATTTTGTGTAACGATCCAGTCGGCCTGCGAGAATTCTTTAATATGAAGGCAAACATCAGAGAAAAATACCTCCCTTCTATTATCCTCACCCCTCTTGATGTAACAGCGAAGGACTTTTCAAAACAGTTACCCCGAAGGAAACAGTTACCCCATACACCTCTGAAGCGGAAATTACGATCATGGAAAAGGGGTGAAGATCAAAAGGAAAAATCTCTTCATCCGTAAACAACAAATTGTATGAGAGCTGCTCAATATAAAAGTGGATATTTCAGAGACTCCTTGCCGCTTGTGGTCGTTAGGACATTTTTTTAACGTTTGACATTGGCGGAGATTCTGACTGTAGATAAGATTGCAAACCAACAAGCTTGCAGCTCTAGTTCTTCAATCCCAAGCTGGCTCCCTGTGGGTCGCTGTCCTTCTTTTGCAGATTTTAGATGATTTGTATTCGAAGAGATGATTTTTTTAAAGATAGAGTGACACTGACTGGCATATAACATTGATTATATATAACTTTTCCGGCATTCCTTACAATGATGTTCTTTTAAATGTAAGAGCCATTGCCAGGTATTTCCTACACTAATATTTTTTACTTACTTAAATTGTGTTGACTATGTATAACTTTTCCAGCATTCCTTACAATGACGTTCTTTTAAATATAAGAGCCATTGCCAGGTATTTCCTACACTAATATTTTTTACTTACTTAAATTGAATTGACTATGTATAACTTTTCCGGTGTTCCTTACAATGATATTCTTTTAAATATAAGAGCCATTGCCAGGTATTTCCTACACTAATATTTTTTACTTACTTAAATTGTGTTGACTATGTATAACTTTTCCGGCATTTCTTACAATGACGTTCTTTTAAATATAAGAGCCATTGCCAGGTATTTCGTACACTAATATTTTTTACTTATTTAAATTGGGTATACTATAGCCTACGTCACGGGATGTGTTATTCCTGCTAAATTTAACTAAAAAACAGCATTTTCTGCGAACCTGATTTTTAGCAACAAGTAAACATTAAATGAAGTGTGTTGTTATAAGTCGCTACTCGTCAGGTTGGAATTGTATTAGTCTAGTTCCTTTTGAAATATGAATTTATTAAACATACTTAGAACTCAGCTTATTAATTAAACTAAAAGGTAAATGCTATTCCTAGTAAGTAGAAGTAGTTGTGTTTTTTTCATATTATACCCAATTGCATAAGCTTTATTATTTTTTCACTTAGCTTACATTTTATTGTATAAACTAAGTAAAAAAAAATTCTGCCTACTTTTAAATTATTACCGGATACAATAAGTGAATATAATAATATAAAATAAAAATTATTACAAGCTGTTTCAAATCCGCTGTTACCATTGCATTTCATTCAAGCATCTCCGACCACCATTCAGAGAATCTGATTGGTGAAATATATTTTCCCGCGAAAAACCCACCAATTAGATCCCCCTTTTGTTTCGGAAGGTGCGGATATAGTATGCAATGTGAACGGCTCCTAAGTTTTTTGCAAGCTTCGAATTACTTCGAAACTTCAGATAGTGTTCCTGTTTCCTCAATGCTGTTACATTTGATTGCTCAAGTAATGCATTGAACTGTTTGTATTTAGCGCTATTTGGGAATCCTACTCTTCATATGGGCGGTCCTTATATTTCATGGCTGTTTAATAAGGGTACCATCATATTCACCATAAGTGTTTAAAACACTTATAATAATATTTCAAATGTTTTTTATCCTCGGATTATTAATCCAAGAAATCCGACCAGTGCGAGCTTGTTATTTCAACCTAAAAAACGAGCTTCTGTAAAAACACGTGTTTTAGAATAGAACTGTCAAGGTGGTGTTCATGTTAGTGTTCAAGTCTTTTAACGATAACTGTTATTTGCTAAAACAGAGTAAATAATTGTGTAACAGAAATAACTGAACACAGTTTGTGTACTTATACACACAGCCTTCATAGCATGAATAGGCTCTCCAAGTGAATTTGCAAGAGCTTTTTGCCCAGTTACATGTGCCAGTGCATACCCTGTATGCATAGTTTGTCCAGTCTGGCAACACTTAATCCAAAAATGTTACAAACTCCTCTTTGTTTCTAAAAACTGTTTTTAACAACTACTATTCTTTAACGTGATGGCTCAGTGGTTAAGGCACTGAACTGTCAGAGTGAAGAAAGTGCTGATCGCATGGTTTGAATCATGTCGTTGATCATGAAATTGTGGAGCTCTGGCCCACAACTAGCTGTTACGGGAATGATTTTCTTTTACTATTAATTCTTTAAACAACATAGAATTTAAGTACATGTCTTCACTACGGTCGAAGTTACTAATTTTTCGCTTGCAGTATTTCCACATCCACTTGATCTAATCCCGTAACAATTCTGAAAATTCATAGTAATAATCAGCTACAAGTTCATTAGATAACGAACTACCCCTACAAAAATATCAAGGTATTTTCACATAAGTTTTTTTGAAGTGTCTATAAAAATATATGTACAGTGCTCAAAAACTAAATGGACCATCCTTAATAACTTCTAATCTAATGATCAGATCTTCACGTTCTAGGACTCAATCTTAATTAGCCGAGGGGGTATCCTTAACTATGCTAATTAATTAGTGCAGACGATATTTTAAGTTACGAAATCAGACACAAAAACGAACTTTCACTAAATAAACATGTTATTTTTTTCTACAGATTTGGATTAATAATGCACAAAACGTTGAGAGTAGCCGCAATGTGAAAAATGTTTAGACCACAGTTTGGTCAGAAGAGTGATCAAAAGTGTGGAATACCTAATTTTACTTACTTGCGTTTCTCGCCATATCTCAACAACTTTTAAACCGAATTGAAAATTTTTTGTATACAATTATAAAATTTATTTGTCCAAAGATAGTTCCATGCGAAACATAAATTTTATTAAATATTTATAATTTGTTTTTATTTTATTTAATAATAGTCGGAAGAAATTTCGAATGTAAGGTGTACAATTTTTTACATAATTTTAAAGTATGTAATTTTACACGGCGAAATACAAAATTTGAGGGAAATAGGTCAAATAGTTCCTGAAAAATCATTTATTTAAGAGTGAAAAAATGACTGAGTAATATTGAGAAAAATGACTGATTTTCAGAAAAAGTCGTGTATTTAAGATTGATTCCCAGAACGTGAAGATACGATCGTAAGATCAAAAGTTATTCAGGGTGGTTCATTTATTTATTTATTTTGTGCTATGTACAAAGAGATATCTCCGTTCAACTTTACTCTTCATAAGTAAATTGAACTCTCAACACTCAGAACTCTCAATTTTGCATCGGGAAAAAAATTGTTTGCTGCCTGAAATTTTAAATGTTTCGACATTTTTGGTAACTTCAAATAATAAGTTAATAAGATTATCATCCTTCTAGTCTAAAAACCTCAGTGTATCTCCGTTAAATACACAAGGTGTTCCGTAGCGACTAACCTTAATAATGTGTTTTTAGAATCCTTATTAAAAATATCAACACATTGGGGGTAGCAATTAATATTTAACCAAGAAAAAATGAAATCAAAATCTGACAATTAAAACAGAAAAGCAGGCGTATAAAACAACAAGATAGGTTTGATTACGAGAGGAAACTAGGAAAAGTTAGAAAAGAATCATTCGAAATACCTTATAAGAAACACCATACACCAACCTGTTATTAAACTTTGACGTTTATTACATTCGCTTTCTAGTACCGTAATTTGTCTGATTTCGTCAGCTCTTTTTCCTTGTTCATTGCTTAATTATTAATTTAAAACCCTAATGAGTCAACTTTTTTGTTTTCATTTTTAATAAGGATTCTAAAAACACTTTATGAAGAGTGGCCTTTACAGGACACTCAAAAAACTGCTGAATTTCAAACAGCTTACAATGCCTGTTTCAAAATAGAGCGTATAGGTAAAAAAATAGTTTTCCTATTTGAAATCAGTACATCTAACTTTAATCGTAATCAGTTTACTAACTAAAGGCAACAAACATATTTTTTACCCGAGTAGGAAAATAGCACGTTTCACAAATTTAGCACAAAAATGTGTAAGTAATGTTCTTAATATGTAAGTGTTTAAAGTGTGTTCATTGCCACTATGTGATTGTTGTGTATTGTGTGTTTTTATCACTAAAAATATATATTTTGACTGCATATATGTGGTCAATAGTATGCTACTTTTAATAACTTCTGAGTTTGTAGAAGATATTTATGACTGTTAAGTTTTTGTCCATATGTTGACCAGCGTTTTATGCTAATTATAAAAATGGAGCAAAAACTCAACATGAACAACAGCCACATTTTCTTTGAAAAGGAAATTTTTTTTAATTCTTTATTTGAAAAAAAATCATTGTTTGGACTCGTAAAGATGTTTGTATATATATTTAAATTAAGGGTATCAAAATTAAGAAATCCTCAAAATTGAAAAATCTGTATAAATTGGCGATATTTTTTTAATAAAAGAATTTGCTTGTTTAAAAGTGTACTCAATTCTTCTCAACAAAATGGTATATCTATATACAGTTTATAATTGAAGATTTAGTTCGTGTTTCAGCCACTTAAACTATCATTTTTTTTTCTTTTTTTCTTTTTTTTACTTTTATGGACGGATGAACTTTTGAAGAACATCCTTAAAGAACGTCCTTAATCCACTGCTTAAATATTTGAATCTGAATCTTTGCAAAAACTTCAAAACTACTTTTCCGAAATTTTATGATTAATATGCAGCAAATTGTTTTTAATTATTTTTTTAAAATTAGCAACCAAAGCATTTTTTATTAGCTATTCAGCTTTTCTGCAAATTTAACAATCGAACATTGCCTCTATTTTTTTCCTTATCATATTTTTTTCGAATCACCTCTAAAATGACTATTTTAACATAGATGTTAACAATGCATGGAGATTCCATGATTATTCATATCTCCAAGTGTAGTAAATGGTGACTGATGCACGTTAGATCTGTCATGTCGCAAAATCCTCCATGTTCCCATAACAAATCAATACCTCTGGGGGTACTGATCCAGGAGTTTCCTTGTCTTCTGGATTGGTTCAAAGTTTGAAGGATACGGAATGGAGCATTAGTAGTCGTAAACCCAAAAATTGGGTTGACTGTTCAACAATGGATATAAAATAAAATAAAAATCATTCATATCTTAATTATTATACATATCTAACTTCAGAGCTTATATTTCAGTGAGCTCTTTTTTCTCCAAGAAATAATTTTTACCCTGTTCAAATGTTTTTAAATATCCCTAACATTTTCACTCTAGGATTAAGTACATAATTCCGAGTAGAATTCGTCCATATGTACCATATATAATCGGTCATATGTCCATATGTTCTTTATAGTTTATTGTTGTGATTTTATTCAAATCATATACTTGCCACTATGTAATATAACTGTATTTTTGTTGTGTAAGATATCTGTTTAGATTTGAAATAGGTAGTTTAATATTGGATTTTCCCCGTGATTAGTTGTAAGAATAATAAAATAAGGTGACAGTTTCAAAAACTACAAGTAAACTATTATAAAGAAAATAATTTTAGGTTTTTTTTAAAGACATAAAACGAAAAACGTAGAATGTGTTAGAAAATTTTCGCTCATAAAAGAAGTTTAAAACAGAGGCGTTTTTCAAAAGATGGAGCATAATACAGATAGATGTTATATGCACTAAATATTTATGATTTTAGGACATCAGATTGCCTTAAACAATAAGCTTATAGCAAAAACTATCGACGTTTCGTACAAAATCTAAAGCAACAGATTGATTACGCTAAATTAAGCTAAATCAAATTTAAGCTTAAATGTTGCCACATCTTAAAGTTTATATCAATATTATGTTCCTACCTTTTGAGAATTACTCAGGAAATTAATGTACTCCAACATTTTTCGTTTGACAAAAATTAAAATGTTTTTTTCTTTTAGTTTACTTAAAAACGTAGTTTTTAAAATTTTTATGTTATTATCTTCTTCTCTTGCATCTGTAAGTTTATCGGAGCGAAGTTGAAATTTCGATTGACGATAAATTTTGCTTGTACCTTTCAGGGAACAATCGAGCTTTACTTGAAGTTTGAGTTCTTTAGAGGATATTTAAATTCCATTCGTGATATATATTCTGGTATACGGCGCGATTCGCCTATTGTTCACTTCGCCTAATTGAGAAATCGATATTGGAGGAGACGAAAGGTGAGCTTGTCCAGCAGCCAGGAGAGAATTTTTCCCTTTTAACTAAGCAGTGGGAATTAATTTCTCTTCTGTTGAAAAGTATTCGGCGTTAATTTTATGACTTCAATCATATCTATTTAAAATATTATGCCCCAGTTTAAATGTATTAACAAGTTTTGAAAATAAATTTTGAATAATGCAAAACAATTTATAATGAATATTTCTCACAGATGGCAATATATACGCAATGATGTAATAATTAATTAATTCCATTCAGACATTGTAACGTTAATATCATAAACTTTGCAAAATATTAATCAAAGTTTCTCAAATATAAAGTAGCAATATTTATTATCTCCTTTTATAAAAGGTTAACTAAATTCTGGAAGAATTAGGGAATTAATTCTGGAAGAGAATCTGGAATCTTCTTAATTCGCTACTTTCAGTTGGCAACAATAAGATTAAATGACATTAAACACCAAAAATTTAAATAACTCAGAAAATGTAAATGGAATGGAACCCACTTATAACGACCTCCCTTTAAAGAAATCTCGCTTTACCAACCAAAATGTGATGCTTTCTTTGGTTCAATATCATAAATGTATCAGAATGTATAGTGCACAAAAAAACGGACCACCCTGAATAACTTTTGATCTAATGATCAGATTTTCACGTTTTAGGACTCAATCTTAATGATTCAAGGGGGTGATTTCAAATATGCTAATAAAAGTGCAGATGATATTTAAAGTTACGAAATCAGACACTAAAATTTACTTTCTCTGAATAAACATGCCTTTTTTTTCGGATTCGGATTTCTTACTCCCATATTATATTGGGTAGCCGCAATCTGGGAAATGTGGTCCAAATAGTTTGGTCAAGCGAGGGCTCCGAAATTTGGTCCCCTTAATGATAATTTTAGTTTTTGCGTACTTCGACACAGCTCGAGAACTTTTCAAGCGAATTGAAAAAAATTTGTACAAAATTATAAGCTTCGTCTGTCCAAAGATAATTCTATGAAAATTTTAACTTTTGGAAAGTATTTATAATTATTTTATTTAGTGATGGTCCCAAGAATTTTGAATTGTAAGGTCTGCAAATTTTTATATCATTTTTAAGGAATGTAATTTTGCATGACAAGATACAAAATTAGTGCGAAATCGGTCAAATAGTTTCTGAGAAATCGAAGTTTAAGTATTTTACTTTTTTTAAAGAAGATTGAGTCCTAGAACGTGAAAATGCGGTCATAAGGGGATTAAAATTTATTCAAGGTAGTCATTTTTATTTTTATTTGGTGAACTGTACATTCACTTTGTAAAAGGATTAATATTAGCAGGCATTTTAATAAAATATAGAGATACTACAATCATCTATATTTTGATCGCTATACATGGATAACTTCAGAGCTTATCATTCAATAAACTGGTTTTTTTTTTAACAAATATCTTTCATCCTGTACAAATATTTTAAAAATGTTCTCTACATATTTGTTGAGTCTTTGTCAATCACCTACGAGTCGAATATTCTACGTCTACGAGTACAATATTCTTTGTTGTTGTGGCTTCATGGTGCTATGTATTTCT